GGGGGCTGGGGTTAAGGCAGGGGAGGGACAGGGAGTAAAGTGCTTGCAGGGCCCCAGGGTTGGTCCTGCCACTTCCCACCTCAGGGCAGGCCAGGGCCCAGGCAACCCAGACTGTGCAAACGGGGTCCACCAGGCCCACCCAGCCAGGCCTGCCCTCAGGCTGCCCTCGCCCCTCCAGGGAGGCTCTGCACACAGGGCCTGGGTCCGCCCCGCAGGGGATAGCCCTGCTTCCGGGTCCCGAGTGATTGTCCGCTGATTGTGCACTCCCTCCGTCGGGGCCACAGCCGCTCCTGCCAGCTACCTGGCTGCTCCCTCGGTGTGGCTGCCCAGTGGAGGCCCTCACCTGCGGAGCCGCTGCAGCTGCGGGGGAGGCCACCAGGGTCAGAGAAGGCACTGCGGCCTCCCGCCCCCTACCCAGCCCAGCCACCTGAGCCTCACCTCGTTCTCCACCAGGTTCCGCCTGTAAAGCGCCTCCTTTGCGGCCTCCTGTGGGGCAGGATGGTCAGTAGGTGTCCCGGGGCAGCCCTGCCCCCACCCACTCGGTCCTGCCCCCCACCAGCCTCACCCTGCTGCCATCGTTGCCCAGCCGCCGGGCAGCCTCCGTGTAGAACTGCAGCTGCCGCTCCAGCTGAGTGATGTACTCTGAGGGCAGAGGGGGCTCAGGGACGCCTACTGCCCGCCCCCTAGGGTGTTCATCCCTCACCTGGGTCCCTCTTCCACTATGCCCATCTGAGCCCCCCACTCCACTGTACCCTCCCCCACTGTGCCCATGGTGCCCCTACCCCGCCGGATGCCCATGCCCCCCTGCTCCAGCTGGGCCCTCTGCCACTGGCTGCGCTGCATGATGTCCTGGTACTGCTGGGCCACCTCTGGGGGCACCGGCCGCCGCGCCTGCCTCAGGGCCAGGATCTGGAGGTACAGAAGGCTGTGAGGGCCCTGGCGGGGCCTGCAGAACCCCCAGCCCCACCGTGCAGGGCCCAGCAGGTACTCACCTTCCGCTCTAACCGCTCTTGGTCAAAGGCCAGCACGCTGAGGCTGTGCAGGGGCCGGGCTGTTCTGCAGGGCGGGGTGGGATGAGGGGCTGCAGGGGCTTCCCCCACCAACCCCATTCATTCGGCTGACCCCTTGGACACCAGTGGTCCAGCAGGAAGCAAGCCAGGCTGCCTGGCCTGGTGGGCCGGAGGGTCAGACGCCCAGGCAGCTTGGATAGGAACTCGGGGTGCTTATGGGAGCCCAGAGGAGCCTGGGGGGTTCCTGGAGGAGGAACAAGCAAGTTGGGCCCCAAAGAATGAAGGGAAGTTGGGCAGAGAAATGAGGGGCGAGGATGAGGAGAGGGTGCTCCAGTCAGATACACAGAAACATTCGATGGCCCGCCGAGTCCATAAGCCCACAGAAGGGTGCAGGGAGAGGGAATGCCGGCCATAGTAAAGATGTCGGTCAGATCACAAAAGGTCCTAATGATCATACTAAGGTGTATAAAGAGGGCATTCTAGGACAAAAGGAGCTGGGAGAAGCTTGGGAGGAGGGCAGGGGCATGGGCCAGCTTGTTCGGTAGGTCTGAGATGGACCCAGGTGGGGTTCTCTGCAGCACAGATTGGCCCACCTACCTGTTCCCTGGCTCCCTCGCAGAAGCAGGCACAGGAGGGGCTTTCCCTTTGGGCCCAGTGACCTGCTTTGGAGGACAGAACCCAATGAGTCTTGACCCCTCTGTGCCAGGCCTCCCTCCCTGGGCCACCTGGGAGGTGGGCCAGGTCTCACCGTGGGGGCAACCACTGGCACGGGGTCGATGACCAGCCACCTCTCAGTTGTCGTCTCCAACTGCTGGGCTGTCAGTGGCTCCCGAATCCGGACCATCACCTCTAGCCGGCCCCCTGTGGGCCGGCGGCCATCCAGAACCTAGGTGGGAGGAGGTGGGGTTGACGGTGGAAAAGGGCATCAGCCAGAGGCCCCGGGGCAGGCTCAGGGATCCCCAGGGAGGGGCCCCAAGGATGAGCCAAGCAGTGAAGAGGCAGGATGGCTGGGGTCCAGGGAGGGAGTAGTCGGTACTGGGTACAGGGGTGCGGGTGTCTGGGGCTTCCAGTGGGGCCAGGGTCAGGTAATCCTTGAGGAACTCAGGGCAGGTGTCTGAAGGAGGTCACTCAGGGTCCCCTGCTTACCTCAAGGACCTCTCGGACCTCACATGCAGTCTCTAGGGAGTCCAATTTCAGCTGGGCTGTGCCCAAGACACGATCATTCTTAAACAGCCCCCTGTGGGGGGACAAGCTGTCTGGCGTGGGCAGCTCTCCCTCTAAGCCCCCACACCCTAGCACCCACTGGTGACCCTGCTCACCCTTTGTGGACCACTTCGAACTTGATGCCTTTGGTCTGGATGGCCCTTCGGAAGCCACGGTGGGTGCGGTTGATGCAGAGTTTGAACTGCTCCTTGAATTCTGCCCAGGGAGGAAGGTGGGGGTCTCAGGTGCCATGGGGCCAAGTGGGGCACCTGCTGCCAGCGCCAGTGCCACCTACCTGGGGAATCTGTGTTCTTGATCACACTGGTCTTGTCTTTCTGAGCTTCTTCCTGTGCCCGGGCGGGAGGCAGGCAAGCTGGGGTGCCTGGAGGCCTAGCCAAGGCCCCCTGCCCAAGGCCCCTCCCTTCCCTCTGGGCTCCCGACATACCACGTTGGGGTAAGGGAAGTCAAAGCGGACGAAGACATCCAGGTCTCCGGGGGAGAGCCCTGTGGACAGACGAGGGTCAGGACTGGGCAGGGCTGGTCCCCAGGGACCGGAGCCCGGGCCGGCCCTCCTCACCTGCGGGCGTGGGCAGGTTGACGGCCTTCACAACAAACAGGAGCATGTCGTTGCTGCTGAGGTCAGGAAAGACCCTGGCGGGGGTGGGGGTGGGGGAGGGACCTCAGCAGCCTTCCTGACCCTGGGGTCGGGGCTGGCTGGGAGGTAAGTCCGCCCTGGGCTCTGGGTGCATCGGCTCCTGGGCTCCAGTTTTGGAATCAGACAGGGCAGGGCGGTATGTCCAATTCCCCCACTGGCTACACTCCAGGCCCTCTCTTCAGGCTGCACAGTCTTTGCACCCATGAGGCACCGAGTAAGGAGCCTGCCAGAGCCCCTGAACCTGTCTTCAGACACACAGGCTAGTGTCCAGCCTGTTGCTGGTAACCTACGGGTTTGAAGCTTGCCAGTTACCACCATCTCTCAAGGCTGTTCATAAAAATCAACCTGTGTGTGTGTGTGTGTGTGTGTGTGTGTGTGTGTGTGTGTGTGTACACACACCTGAAGGCCCTGCTTTTCTGGAGAAATCCCGATCCAGAGAGCAAGGCCCTCGACCCCCACACTCTCCAGAAGGCCCCTCAGAGCCCCACTTACTGGCTCTCACGGCTGTACGTGTGTCACGATCAGAGTGGTCTTGCCAGCCGTCACACGCCTCCCTCGGCCTCAGGACGCGAGCCCTTGTTGAGCTCCCATCCGTTACCTCGCCCTATTCCACTCTCAGAGCAAACCCCTCTGCCGGCTCTGGGCGCCAGTGCAGCACCGCCCCTACCCCCACCCCCCACCCCCAGCAGCCTCTAGCCTAGGGGTCGGGGTCTCACTTGATGACGCTGAAGGTCCTCTGCTCAAAGCGGGCAGCAGGTGTGGGGAGGCCCCGGGCGAAGGCCTGCTTCAATGTCTCCATGCTCCGCTTACAGTCCTCGGCCAGCCTCTCGAACCTGCCGGCCAGAGGACGGGGCTCAGGCAGGCTCCCTGGTCCTGAGGGCGGACCGGACGGGCTGGGGCCATGAAGTCATTGGCAGGGGCAAGGTGGGGGTGCTCACTTGGTGGTCTCCGCGATGTTGCCCAGGTGGGTGAACTGGTTAGAGTGGTTTAGGCACATCTGGGGGAGCAGAAGACAGTGAAGGAAGACTTGGGGGGCTGTGTCTTGGGAGGGGACTGGCTGAGCCAAACTGGGGGCCCCCTGCTCACCTCATGCTGCTGCCGTATCAGCTTCGTGAGCTCACCATAGCGCCTCGCAGCCTCCTGAGACAGACCCGGGCCAGGCCGCTGGACCAGGGCGAAGTCGTCCTTGTTGACTGGGGCGGGTGGGACCTGGGGATGACGAGGCTCATGGGGCCGACCCCAGCCTTGGGGACAGGTCATTCCTCATTGACAAGGGCCTCTGAGCACCTCTGCAACCCCTCAGCTCCCCCCGCCCCAACAGAGACCAACCCTCCCCCCATCCAACACAGAGACGGATCCCCGTCACTCAACACAGAGAACTCGCCCCCCACCCAACACCAAGACCAACCCGTCACTCAACACAGAGAACCCTCCCCCTACCCAACACAGAGAACCCTCTCCCCACCCAACAGAGACCAACCCTCTCCCCACCCAACACAGAAACCAACCCTCCCCCCACCCGACAGAGATAACAGCCCTCCTGTCACTTGAATGCTGAGGTGTCCTGGGGCTGAGGCCCCATGTGAACAAGACAAAGCAGCCCCACCTCAAGGGGGACAGGCTGTCGGGGGACAGGCTCTCTGGGGACTGTGGAGCAAAGGGCAACACACAGGGGGTGTGTGAGTGGCATGGTGGGGGAGGGGGGACATCCCAGAGCTGCTGCCATTGAGCCAACTCCGAATCATGGCGACTTCGCGGGTCACACAACAGAACTGAGTGCCACGGGACTCCTGGGCTGCCATCTCGACAGCAGCAGGTTGCCAGGCCTTTCTTCTGTGGTCCCACTGTGTGGGTTTGAACCGCCAACCATTAGAGTAGAAGTTGAGTGCAAACATTTACGCCAACCCAGGGAGCCCATACTCAATGGTGGGGGTGAGCACTTATGCTCACTGACAGTGGGCGGGGGCAGAGGGTTCCAGGTTAAAGGGAGGAATTGGGGGCAGGGCAGTTCTATAGGGGTCAGCCCCATGTGAGCAGATACCTAGGGAGGAGGGAGGGAGTCAGGCAGAGATGGGAAATATGACTTCAGGCGGAGGGAACGGCAGGTGCAAAGGCCCCGAGGTTGGAGCCTGCCTGGTTTGAGCCCAGCAGGGAGGCCAGAGGGCTGGTGGGGAGGGAGCAAGGGGAGAGTGGAGGCTGCGAAGGCAGAGTGCTGACCTTGTGGGTCATGATAACGAGCTGTCTGTACTTGTAGGTTTCTAGCTAACTCCTGCTCCAGGCGGGTGGGGCTGCATATCTGTCTTGTTCCTGGCTGTATCCTCAGTGCCCAGCATGGGTGGACACATAGTAAGTGCTCTAAAAATAGTTCCTGTTGTGGACACTTCCAGTTCCCCCAGAGCTCACTGTGTTTCCATCCCCACTTTCCCAAGGAGGAAAGTGGCCCTCAGAGGGAAGGAATGGCCTTGTCTTTTATGGTCTCCCCCAAGTCTAATCCCATCTTCCCCAGGAATTGAGTCTAGGGGATACTACTCGGTATCCAACAAGAGACTACATGTCCCAGCCTCCCTTGCAGCTAGGTGTGGCCATGTGACTGAATTCTGACCAATGAGAGGTGAGCAGAAGGGACGCTAACTTCCTATTACTTATTTAAAAGGAAACTACTGTATATGCTCGTGTATAAGCTGAGTTTTTCCAGGATATTTTTCTACGCAGTTTTTGTGGTAAAATTAGATGCCTCGACTGAAATTCAGGTCGGCTTATACTCAAGTATATATGGTACTTCCCTAGTCAAGTATATATGGTACTTCCCACCCCACGCCCCTGTGCTTCGCACTGGCTAGATAAGGCCGGGCAGCAATCTGCTGCGACCCTGTGGACAAAGACGACACCTTGTCTAGGGAGAGGCAGAGCACAAAGACCGAAGGGGCCTAGGCAGCAGAGGGCTTCGTGGTGTTACACACTGGACACAAATATGTCTTGCTTCACCAACTGTCTTGGGGGGACCCATTTGTTTCAGTGGCTTAGTCTGTCTCATGCAGCCCTGGGTATATATAGCTGCAGGTGGCCAGGGTGTGGCTCGTGGGTGCCTGGGCAGCCCCAGTGGGCCCAGAAGCTTCACCTTGGCAATGTCCACAGGTAGCCCATTTCGAGAAGCATCCAGCATGGGCTCCAGCCCCTTGGCCTGGCGCAGGTGCATCTTGGCGCCCTCCACGTCGTTCTTCTGCTTGGCTCGCAGCGCAGCCTGCAGGAGCTGTTTCTTACGGTTCTCCAGGAAGGCCAGCTGCTGCTGGGCTGTGGGTACAGGGGCCACGACAGTGTTGCCCGGGCCGTGGCCAGGCCAAAGGGCAGCAGGAGCTGGGAGGGACCACCTACCTCTGGTGGACGTGCCCTTGGGCACTGCCTTGGCTGCTGGGGCCGATCCTGATGCAGGTGGCCTTGAGGCTGGAGCTTTGGACTGGGCCGTTGTAAGGCCTGCAGGGCTGGGGGACTGGTGAGGGGCAGACAGGAAGTCAAGAGTCTTCCTAGGTTGTACAAGAAGCCCAAGGTCCAGGGGCTCCTGCCACCAGAAGTGGCCGCCTTCCTGTCTCCTCGGCACCCGACCCAATGCTCCCAACCTGCTCTCACTGAAGTGACCATGGCCATGGGAGGAAGGGGGACCATGATCACCCCACTTTATGGATGTGGAAGACTGAGGCTCAGAGCATACAATGACCAGCACAAGCCCCACCGGTGGGAAGCGGCAGGGCTGGGATGGGAGCCAGGGTTCTCAGGACTTTGCTTGACGCCACGCCCCGGCCTCCCCCACACAAGCCCCAGCCTCTCATACCTTCTTAGGCTCCTCATCCTCTTCGTCTTCTGGGCCCTCATCCTGATTGGCCAGCTTCATGGCGGTTTCCAGGACACCCACCAGGCTCTGCTGGGTGGGCTCGGTGGCCTCCAGACCCTGGATGGGGGGAAAGCCTGGGCGGGGCCCAGTCAGGTGAACACCCAAGTTTCAACAGCAAGGCATGGGTGCCCCTCACCGTGTGAGGTACCTCCCATTTCCAACGCTACTTATTCCTAACCTCACCCAGGCCACTGGCTTCCCTTGCTGGAACACTGGCCTGACCACATCCTGACTCGTCCTCAGTGCAGGGCGGGGTGGCCCTTGGCCTGGAGGGACTGTTCCCAGGCTAACAGGGGGATCAGAGTTCAGGGACAAATGCTCATGTGTTAGGTGCACAGGCAGCGCTGAGAACCCAGAGGTGGCCCTGTCCCATGAGGCATTTAGGGGAGGCTGAGAGGGGCCAGGTAACCCAAGTGGAGAAGAAAGGAAGGGGTGAGTAGCAGAGAGCTGGGGAACCGGCTCTCCAACAATTGGCCCTGTGCTTTTTAGTGCTGACCAATTCCCTCGGTGTAAATATTCCCGCCATGCCAGATTTCAGCTTCCAATGATAAAACGGGCCAAATGCCCTAGGTAGTGGTCAGCTCCCTGAGCCTGTATTTGGAAGGCACAGCACCTGTGATAGCTCTAAAGCTATGGGGGGCAGAGGGAGGGAGCTGGAAAGGGCCTACCTGGGGGTACGGGCAGCTCTGCCACCTCCACGGCTCGGCCGGCCTTGTGGGCTCGGATCGCATCTTGGTATTGCTGCAGGGACACTGAGGTTAGGCTGTTCAGGACAGGTTTCCAGGGGTCACCTCCCCGCCCTCTGGCCCCCAGGCACCTTAACAATGCGCTCATGCATGCGAGCCTTCCGCTGGTCCCCTTTGGCCTTGGCCTGGGCTGCAGCCACGTGGTACCGCTCCATCCGCTGCTCCAGCGCCTCCAGGAGGCTCCTCGGGGGTGGCGGCACCTCTAGGACAGGCCAGGAGGCAAGGTTCAGAGTCCAGCAATGGGGCAGCACTGTTGGCCCGCTTGCCCACCCCAGAGGGTGCAGGGAGCCTACCTGGGGTGCTAGGCGCTGTGGTGGGAGCCAGAGGCTGTGGCGGGGGTGACGGTGCATCTGCTGACAGCTGATCTGGGGGCAGAGAGGACCAATCAGGGGCTGGGTGGGCACCCCCCTCCAGGCTGGTCTGACCCAAGGGTGTCCCCAGGCCTGACCAATGGGGGTAGTAGCACCAGGAAGAACTCCTCAGCAGCCTCGAGCAGTCCCACAAGTGGGAAGGGTGGGGTCCTCACCAGGTGGAGGTGGCAGGCGAGACAGGTCCACGGGCTCCCCCCGGCTCAGGGCCTCCAAGACGGCATCGAAGCTCTGGTAAAGAGAAGTAGGAAGTTAGCAGGGGGGAGGGGATCCTTCACCAATCCTT